GGAATGTGGGKATACCGCTAGACACGAACAGTACTGAGTTACTCACTGTGGATCGAAGAGGAGCTCATTTCAGATTTGATTGATTAAGTTTCCTTATAAACGCATCCATAAGCTATATTTATGGTACAGTCTTTTGCTTGGTTGATTGGTTGATCTTATTATGAAACAGTGATTTGTGCTTTGTTTTCCCTTTTTCCTTTTTTTCCCTCTTTTTTCAAATCCTTGTGTCATTTTAAATATAGTGTTTTAAAAGATGTTCTTATTTTTGGAGTATAAAATCTCAAAATGTTTAACAACTAGAAGAGAACAACAACGAAAAGAAAACGGCATGTTTTCTCGTGAAAATATCGATTTGTTTGCCAAATTTTTGAACAGGAAAAAAAAGGTGCATAAATATTACCCAGCAATGAACACTACCTTCAAATRTGATTTTTATTCTTAAAAGGATCTTTCCAGTTTTCCCTATCGAGTTTAATTCCTCAGAAGGTCTAGTGATTGTAAAAGGAAAAAATACCAGTATGTTTGCTTTAAAAAATATCGATTTGTTTGCCTAATTTTGGAGCAAGGAAAATCTTAATCTTTAATATTTACCATCGCCAGCACAAAGTTGGTACCTAGTAAACTATTAGAAAAAAAGAAGAATTCCACTAACAAGTTTTTTTTCAAGGACGTGTTATAGTTTATATAGATCATTAAAACGATCCTACACCATCTAAGTTCGTGGGAGGCAGTACTATTAGATTCAATAACTGTTTAATGAATAGTTCTATGATGTTATATAATTTCAGTCGGGCGGCTCAAATAAGATTCAGTAAAGATTACTTCCTTAAATTATATCATTGTCAGTGTTCGAATCCAAAAAAAGGCGACAGTTTGAGTTCGTGTGTGTATTTATCTCCGTATTTACATTCGTGAATACCTGCATAAGATTCGTCAGGGAGGCTTGCGAGTGTTGGTTAAAAAAATCAAATTTGACTCAGTTAAACAAAAACCTTTTGCCAGTTTTGGCAGAAAACGAATAGCCTGAGGACCTATGAGCTGTCATTAAAGTTGAAGGAATAAGAACAGACCTTAATAGATCCCCAAACGTACATATCAATGCATATCGTTCGTACCACAAACTGCCGTTAAATCTTTATCCAAATTTCAGCAACTGAACTTTTACTAAACCAAGACGCCTGAGTGGCCAGAGGGATCGTTAAAGTCCACACTGACATTGCTTTAAAAAGATTCAACTTCTAGATAATATATTTCCGTTATAAAATTGACTGGTTTTATTCAAGTTGAAAATAAGCACTGATGACTTTATTTTCTTAAAACAACTGATTACATCTAGTGATGTTCTTTTATTCGTTTTTCTTTTCTTTTCTTTTTCTTTTTTTCTTTTTTTCTTTTTTTCTTTTTCTTTTTCTTTTCTTTTTTCTTTTTTTCTTTCTTTTCTTGAATCAAATCAAATCAGTTCTTGTTTTCAAATTGCTCATTTTTTGCTTATGAGAAAATAATTCAGGAAAAAAAAACACGACAATTCTATACAAAAAGCTATCTAAAAATAAAGCAAAAAATAATAATGTATTTGTAAAATAGAGTTCAGAGAGTGTTGGAAACTGAAACTTGAGAAACTACAAATAGATAAAACACCCCACTCTTTAACATGTAATGATAAAAGGATAAATTTTACACCGTGAAAACATGCAAGGGTATAAAGCATTTACATTCTGCATTCTTAAATTTATAAAACAAAATTATTTCCGAAATAGAGTRAGGCGAAAAACTTCAAAATCTTTCTTGTGGTTTCAAAGCAGGACACCTGGTTAGGTAAATTAAGAACGGCCAACTTTGCCGTAATTCACTGAAGGCAATAGTGTTGAGTTGTTGTGAGTTTAAAGCGAGACATTGTCATCTGGTCAGCTTCTCACGGCCAATAAAACACTCTTTCACACTGAACTAGTCTGTAAGGTCTTCCGCATAGGTCAATATTCGTTTTTACCAAAGCAAGGTTAAACTAACCAATCAAGAAGCTCAATTATGCACGTAAAACATCAAGGCGGAAAACTAAAACATTACTCTGAGTCCCTAAATGTTTCCAGGCATTCTTCACATCTGTTGAGTTTCAGATCAATAAAATGGCGGCCGATATACTAATATTGTTCTTGAAACAACTAAACTTAGAAATCAATGAAGTGTTTTTAATAAAGTTTGTTAACTGCTTGTTTGATTGAGGTTTATCCTAATGTTATCTGAAGAACCTTTTGATCCAAAAACGAGTGTCCACTTTTATCTTTTAAAATAGAAATAAGAATTGAATTTCAGCCGACAACGGTAAAAGGATGTTTGAAGATTTTTAACCAAATAAAAATTACCATTAGGATTCCTTTAAAGGAAAATCCGACATAATAAATCGGAGATTTTATTCATTTTCGTTTTCAACTAAATTTATCGATTTTTCTTGACTTAAATTATCGCTCGAGGCAAAATATCGCCGTTTTGCATGCCGGATACTCCAACATAGTCTTCCTCCAAACCCATCGCTAATAAACACTTGGCTCCGCAGAATTAGCCAAGCTGTAGGTAATTCTATTCTCACAAAGAAATTTTGTCGATAATAAATGATTGGATTGGTGTATGGTTGATGTTAGCATTAATGGCAAGTTCATTAACGAATCGTTTTTTTCTCGGTGCTTTGGAGGTAATGACGACTAGATGAGTATAGTTTTCATGATTTGGAGCCCATCATTTTGCATAAAATATTTTCGTACTTGCCCTTGCAGCTCTCTCTTAATATCTAATAAAAATAAAAAGATAGGAAACTAAATGAAAGTAGTGAAAATCTGGTGTCCTTTTCGGGAAATTTAGATCAAAAGGTATGAAAAAAGCTTCTAAATGACACAGGTGACTCCAGCTTTTCTTGAGTTTTCCCACTGACTGCCATAAATTGGGAATAMGTAGTTCTAGTATTTCAAACGAGCCTACTTTACTGATGTTTTCATGATTTACTGAATATATTTATTCCCAAAATGAGTAATAAAAACAACTCAAGATCCTTCGGAACTTCAAACAAACTTTGAAATGAAGTCTTTTAGGGGTCATTAATATGGTATATAGACCTGAGCAATACATGTGATGCGCATTTTAGTTGATGTAATGTTAGCCCATTAATTTAGTTTGTCGATTGGGCTGTCTTGTTTGTACAAATCTAACAGAATGAACTTATTTTGGCAAGGCTAATACGGAATTAGTTGTGAAGATTTCTTAAATTATTTCTTGATAGATTGATCGATGATTTTTCGGCCTTCAGCTAAGCAAAAATACGGGAATATATCAATGAACTTAACCCTTATTCAATCCCCTAAAAATAATAATCGAATATATTTTTGAGTTTTTTCGTTTTATTATTGGATGATCGAGCGACTGGTTTTCAAAACAAGATATATTCAAAAGTCTTTAGATAAATGGTCCATCGATTACGCTTTCCCATCGTTCATCACATATCTTATAGAGCTCGATCCAAAATTACCAACAAATTTTAGCACACGCGTTTGCCCAAAAGGGGTAGGTTTTCCCGCCATGATAGTAAACTAGCATTTTCTCTGCACAATTTTCCCGCTATTAGAGCACGCTTACTTTGTCTGTTATATTGTTTTCCTGTTGTAAGAACATGCTACCTTTTTCCCTGTACTATTTTCCTGCCAAAATAGCATACTAACGTTTTCCCTGTACACTTTTCCCGCCATAAGAACACGCTACTTTTTTCCCTGTACTATTTTCGCTCCATAAGATTACGCTACCTTTTTCCCTTTACTATTTTCCCGCCACAACGGTAACTGTTATCCAGCGGAGGATTTCAGGAACATTCTCATGAGAATCGTGCAATTTTGGTATTTTTGGATTCTATGAAAGTGGTTTAAAGCTAAGCATGCCTTCAAATTTTCTTAAACGACCGAACAAATGATATATGAGGCATAATTTTCCCTTCCTAAGCATGATAATYTCGAGTTGACAATGCTGAAAAAAATCGCAGTAATTATGAAATTACGCTTATGACATCGAAAAAGACATTCTTCAGCCAAATTTGAAATAATAAGTTTGAAATACTGAATTACGTAACAATTATCCAGCCTTGCAGGATTTTTGGTATGGAAAGAAAGCAATGCTTCTGACTTCCTGTTTAATTTTAGTCTCACACGCCTATAAAATATTAGATCGTTGTCTTACCATGCAATATACAGATATGAGTAAAGACTTATCTCGACCCAGAACGCAAGGTGTTAGCACGTTTTGGGAAATTTTGAAGACGCCCATATATTAATTCGTTGCATCATCGTGTTACACATTGTCGGGAGACGTGTTCTTTTGCACCGATTCCTTCCCTTTTTGTTTAACTTCATTTCCTTTTTCATCGTTGCCTCGCCCTTCTTTTCCGTTTCGCGTATTTTTTTTTTCTTTTTTCTTTTCCCTTTCATTTTTGTTGTTGTTGTTGTTGTTTTTTTTTTGTTTTTTGTTTGCTCTCATATTCATTTCATTACCTCCCTCCTTCTCGTTTTTCTTTCTTCCTTTCTTTCTTTCAATTTGAAVACACCTAAACTTTAATAGGATACCCTGAGGTGGTGAGTGTGGATCAGTAAGAATATTATCTATGACGCATTAAGAATATTTCTGGCATCTTCCAAATCGTTGTGCAAAACCCCGGAATATAAAATGTTCCGTGTCTTGTAAGTTATCCTGGATAAAAGACGGTGTTAAAACAGCTCAAAATGATGTGATGATCATTTTATTCCCCGAACAAAGAGAAGACATGATGATGATTTGTGTGCAATATACAGAAAGTGTTAGGACGAACAATTATCTCGGGTTAACTCAATATTGGGAACATTCTGACTTAACAAGCCACACAGGAGCTAAACACCTAGCACACTTAGCCAATTAAAACACTCCAATTAAGTAAATTAAAGACTTAATATTATGATAAACAAGAAAATGATTTGTCGTTTTGTAATTTGCAGCTTTCTATTACTTCCGATTTCCTGCTCTGGCAAGCAGCACACCGGTGACAAAATGGACAATATACCAAAACAATTTGCTTCAAAGTACTTTATCTCTCATAATGCATAATTGGTAAAGCCATTCAGAGGCGATCATCAACGAACTGAGCTCTCGTTTCCTTTGAAAATTACATCGCAAAAGTATTGTTCTCCTTCGACTAATTATCCAGAGCAATCTGYCTTTAAATCTCCATTTAACAGTCACGTGAACGGGCCTGAAACTGCTTTAAAAGTTGTAATTTAGTTTGGCAATGAATCAGACAATCTTTCAGCATGCAAAGAAGCAAGTCGTCGTCCTTCTCCGTCGAGTCTCTTATCTCGGATTCACCGGACAAGATGGTAGACAAAGCAATGACATTACCGCTCTCACATGTCGCGGGTCCCCACGACACAGCTCACTCGCCTTATAGTGAAAACGAACTGGATTTGGGCCGTAAAGATTTATCATTTCATTCAGGATTACCGGCCAACGATGAGGAATTGAAAGGAAACAACATTGAAGATTCTATGACACAGCAGACAGGTTGGTATTTACTAATTGTTATATTCAACTCTATCTATTTGCCACTGTTTTTCTGAATTTTTATAATTGATATATAAAATACACCATCGCTGTACAAAGGTTCCCTTAGCTATGCGCCACGAGCCTATTTAGCGACTCACGCGAACTTATTATCTCTAGAGTTAAATAGAAATAGTGATGGTTTTTTATCTATTTTGATGGGTAACTACTGCCTTCTAATGTCCACGAGACTCTCCCATCAGTTGATCAAGGCTGATCATTCTCTCGACATGATAGATCATAATGTACACTCAAACTTATTAGCTAATTGAAAAATCGCACAAAAGTAATTTTAAATTAGTCTTCTAAACGACATATAGTTGTTTCACTAAAGGCAGTTTTGGCCGTTTTGCTGTTTTAACACGTAAACCCATATATGATTACTATACCTCCATTAAAAGGACTTGGCTCATGATTTGCTGTTTCTGCCATGTTTAATTAACACTTACACCACCTGAGTGACCATTTCTTTTCCTTTTTCTTCTATTTCTGCTTTTTATAGCTCAGTTCCTGTTCTTTCTATTCTTCTACTTCTTGTTGTTAATCTTGTTCTTTTTCTT